GCCGCCGAACTCGGGGGCAGAGGGAATGTGGAGCGCGGCGCGGGTCCACGCGCCCCAGGAATGTTTGCCGAGCGACCTCCCGTCCAGTCCCCACTCCAGAAAAGGGGCAAAGCCACTTAAAAATAAAACCAAAAAGTGCGCTTGGGTGAAGAGCAATTTAAGTAAGAGACATCAAAACAGCGCAATTTAAGTAAGAGACATCTACGCAGCGCCAAATGTCCCAGCGGCAACTGCCATCTCTGCTGGCATTGGCGGGGGGCAGAAGAAGGGGAAAAAATTTGCTTTCAGCTGTAATCTTTTAGCTTTTCAGCATTTCATTTCCTTTCTGCACGGCCCTGTTTGACGCCGGTCCTGTCTGCTCCGTTAATCGCCGTGGCCGTCTGCAGAGACGTTCTCTCGGCCCGTAGGCCCCACGTGGGGCTGCGCACGGGGCTCGGCTCCCAGCACACGCCCCCGTGGCTCCAGCCAAGCACAGCAGGAGAAGAGGAGGAGGAGGAGGAGGAGGAAGGCCCCGCTGATCCCGAGCGGAGCCCCAGGATTAGTTAAGGAGCAATCTTCAGAGGTGGAGCGGGCGACGCTGCCTGCGCAAGGGCGAAAGCCGAGCCCCCAGCCCGGCCGGGGAGCACCGAGGGGAGAGGAAATTTGTCACCGGTTTCAGGAGCATCACCGCGCAGCAGCCAGCACATCTCCTGCCCGGGGACTGCAGAAAAGCCTCAATTTTGGACAAAATAATTTCAGCACGCAGAAGGGAAAGCCCCAGCTGAAACCTGCGGTTTTCTAGCTTGAATACGGTCAACACCACTTTCAGGGAGAAACCATCAAAGTCCACAAATCCAGATTAAAAGCAAAGCTTAAAGAAAGAAATAACAGTTGACGAGCGTGACCAAGCGATATGAAAGCAGAGGTCTCAGCGGTGTGTGCAAACAGAGAGCGTGTGTGCCGGCAAGGGACCGGCCGCCCGGCCTCACCGAGGGCCCCGGCGGGCGGAGCGGCACGCGGCAGGAGGGGACGTGGAGCGAGGCGGTTTCCTTGCATTGCACGGGCAGAGGCGGCAGCAGCAGCAATAATTCATCGCCTTTCCTCCATCGGAACTGTAAACCACACCACTTTAAAAAGACAACACACACGAGTAAAAGAACAGTCCGTAAAATTTCCCCGTGAATATAAAATGCAAAACTATACAAAAATAGATAAAATTAACCATTTTCTGATGTGTATAAAACCAAACAAAAAAAACCCCAAGGTCCCCCAAACACAATACAGAACCACTTGGTAGAGTGACCCGAACGGCAGCGGTTTACGCACAAATTAACTGCCATAATTCATCACCGCGAGGCAGGACCTTCCCTGGAAGGGCTGCACTCAGGTGAGTTCCTCAAAGGGAGTTCTTCCTTGATATCTTGGCAAGACAATCTGCTGTTCCTGATTTTTATGAATTACTTCTGGTTCAGAAGCCCTTTTTCACGGAAAGCCTCAGCCCCCACTCTCAGATTTGAGTTCCTCAGGTAAGGCAGTATTCGACTGACGATCGATGCAGCTCGAGACCAGAAGACCTGGTCTGCAGCCGCATCCCGGGCTGCATCCCCAGCAGCGTGGGCACAGGGCGAGGGGGGGGATTCTGAGACCCCCCAGGAGTCCTGCGTCCAGCTCTGGAGCCCTGAGCACAGGACAGAGCTGGAGCTGTGGGAGCGGGGCTGGAGGAGGCCCCAGCAATGATCCAAGGGCTGGAACCCCTCTGCTGGGAGAGCTGGGGCTGGTCAGCCTGGAGAGGAGAAGGCTCTGGGGAGACCTCAGCACAGCCTTCCAGTGCCTGGAGGGACCTGTGAGAGCTGGAGAGGGGCTGTGACAAGGGCATGGAGTGATAGGACAAGGGGTGACGGCTTTACGCTGACAGAGGGGAGGTCTACACTGGCTCTAAGGATGAAATTTTTTACGCTGAGGGTGGTGAAACCCTGGCCCAGGTTGCCCAGCAAGGCGGTCGATGCCCCATCCCTGGGCACATTCAAGGTCAGGTTGGACAGGGCTCTGAGCACCCTGGTCTGGTGGAAGATGTCCCTGCTCATGGCAGGGGGGCTGGGCTAGATGGCCTCTGAAGGTCCCTTCCCACCCAAACCGTTTGGTGATCCTGTTCATCCCGGGTCACACAGGTATTTCAGGAAGAGCAGTACACTTCAGGCAGTGAAATCCAACCTCTCCACAGCACTGATAACTCACAGGCTGGGTTAGCACACTGAAAATCCTTATTTCTTTGGGTTAATGGGGCAGAACACACCAATAATCCCGCAAATTAGCTCCAAAAACACTTTCAGAAAACCAATTTTAAATCAACAGATACTTGCTTCGTTTAGTTCACATCACATTAAGAGGAGAAACCTTTGGTATAAAGTCAGGTTATCAAGCCTTGGCTGTATTGCTTTCACACATTCGAGCCCAGAAGCTGTTCTCACTCACGTACCTACAACCGAAAGAACTATTCCTAGCGACATGCACTGCAGCTGAACATTCATTTTAGCACCGAGACACTTCCACACCTCACCAAGACTTTGGCAAAGGCTGCACCGTGTCTAAACAAAACGCTACGCGAAGCCCCCTTCACCCGCGAGAGGCCTTTGGTGACACGCCAAAATAAAACGGAAATTAAAAACCAGCGAGGGGCTGCTGCTCAGGCCAAGCAAGTCCTGCGAGGGCCGGTCCGCGCGCGACGTCTCCGGCGTCGCCAGCGCTGTTTGCTTGTGGTTTTTATTTCATGAGCGGCGGCGAGATGTGCAGCACCGAGACCTGACCCTGCCCTTACCCCGAGCAAGAAGGGAGCCCGTTCCACTTATTCCAATTAGGCAATATTCGTTAGCAGACGCTGACGAGCGGAGCCTGCACACCCTCGGAGGTGAGGGGACCTTTCGCTGGCTGACCGCGTTCTCCTCTCCGGGTCGGGGATGTGGGGCGGGAGCGGCACCAAGAGCTGAGTTTGTCCCGCGAAATCCTCCCCGGCTGCACGAGGGGACAGGAGGAGAAAACCAACGCGGCACGGTGGGTTCCCGCGGTAACTCCCTGCAGCTGTACTGGTAGGAAAATACTGAAAAATGAAGGTCTAAGCCCATGGATACACACATGGGTCTAACTCTAGCCTCAGCAGTCTGTTCAGGAAAGAAAAAAAAACCATAAATAAGTCACCCGTGGGCAAGCAAAGCCAGGCTTTGCCTTCCGCAGCTCCCTGCAGGTCTGCACGGATGGGGCGGTAAGGAGTCTCCGCTCAGAAAGAAATACTGGGACTTCATTTTGCCTGGCGGGAAGCAAACCCAAGCCCCAGGCACCTGCTCGTGCCTGCGGATGTGGTGATGCCAGGGAGCAGCCGACACTTCCCACCAGAGCCGGGTCCGGGGGGGTCCCTCGCTGCGGGCTGGGGTCGGTCAGAAAAGCAGGGCAGAGCCACCCCTCGCCCCGCTCTCTGCTCCGGAGAGGGCAGCAAACACCGGTACTTCCAGCTTGGGATGTTTTTTTTAAATGCTACAAATTCTGCTGGCAAAGAGCAGAAAGGGGACAAGCCAGGGGCGGGGAACAAAAATCATCAGTAGCTGAAATCAAATCGGAACACGGCGCCCGGACAGACGGAGGAAGAAGCTGCGTAAGTGACGGACGGGGAGGTCTGGTTCAGAATCACGCGTGTCTGAGCTCACGGAGGACGCGGGAGAGGCCTCGAGGACCGACGGTCTGAAACCGCTGTTTCCAGGGGCTCGAATGACCGCCTCCACCTCCGTCTCCTGAGCTCGCGTCCCTCCTCCACGCTCCCTCCAGGAGGGAAAAGAAATCCCAAACCTGCGGTGACCGCCAGCTTTTATGTTCCCCCCGGTCGGAAGAAGCCAGGACGCTTCGTTTTGGCTGCGTTACACCTTGTACTCCAATTCACAGAATACTTCCCTCCTATGAGTTTATATAAAGCAAAGAAATGTAAACTGATTCAAATAAAAACAAACAACCCACAAAATTTCCTTTTTAAGAAAGTAACAGCACCCGCAGCTTTGCAGCCGCAGGTACGGTGTGAATTTAGCTTATTCCACAGACCTCGCCCGCGTGCCGACGGCCCGGGAGAGGCGAGGAGTGCGGGACGAAGCAGGGGGAAGGTTTCTGCCGGGAGTTACGCACCGTGAAGACAGACCCCGACGAAGCAGGGACCGACACTTTGTTCTGAAAAGGGACACCACCGACAGCACACCTCTCCGAGTGCGGCATCTTGGAGCGAATTCAAACTAGACCTGGAAAACGTTTACTGGCACACACTCAAAAGCTCCTGCTTTCCTTAGGGGCAAGGGGGAAAAAAAAAAAATTAATAAATAAAAATGTTACTGCAAAGTTCCCCTTTCAGCTGCCTCGCCTCCTGTCCTCACTCTGGAAACAACCGGCATCCTTCCCCCCAGCTGAGACCGCGACAGCAAACATTCAAAGTGAGTCTGAACCAAAACACTTCACCGAGAAGAGGAAGAAAAAAACCCCCAGTTTCTCCCCAAAGTTGCCCCAAGGCTCGCTCCTCCCCGCTCCAAACCTGCCGCACCAGCAACGGGTCCGTCCCCGGCTTTGTTCCTAGCAGCAACGTGAGCCTGTGCCGGGGGCTGCCACCGCGCTTGGCGTTGGGAGCGCGGCAGCTCGCGCTGGAGAACACGGGAGCGCCTCCGCGTCCCCGTACGAATCCCGGAGGCAGCTCCCAACACCGCCAGCGCATCC